GAAAATTTAATCTCACAAAGTCATATTAAAAAAAGAGTAACAATTAAAATACGACTTAAGAGTATGTAGACTATTACTATAGATTTTATTCTTATTTCGTCATTCCTTACAATGTAATATCATAAAGTTYACGTTTGTACTGAAAGTGGTTTTTAAAATAGTATTGTGAAACGCTGTAACTTATATTAAAGTCACCATTCGGAACATTGGCCGTACATAAATGTATTTTAGGRAGTGAAAATATGAATTGAAAATCTTCATTTTCACCAYCACGACGCCACCACGTTACTGATTCGTGAATCATAAGAATTTAAGAATAGTTAAAACTCATTTGATGATGGATAGTCTCTTTTTCAATATTGTTATTTTTTCGCCAAATTTTTAATTATTTTCTTCGTTAAAAATTATGATGATATTAATAATTGATGTAAATTAAAGGACACGAGTTAACGATTCCTATTAAGGAATATTAGATGAAGACAAGATTTCATAAAACAAATATARAAGTTAATTTTGCTTATGTTAGCGTTTTGCTGATGTTCGTGTTTTGTTTATATTTTAACGTCATTTGGACTTATACGCCTTCATGATGCTATATGATGTTTTCCCTTGGCAAATACGTTTTTCTTTTTCAAAATTGTATAGTAACACTCACCAATATAACTTCTTTGTCTCCAATAAATTATTAAATTGTGTCTTAACACATTGATATTAAATTTGCTTCTAAACACTTAGATATTCATTTTTCACACTCGTTCGTGTATTGAGTTTTAAGAAACTCATAGAAACAACACTCATAAATCATATTATTTAATTTGTAGAAAATTCAGGTTATTTGACTATTGACACCGTTGTCTACGACRTCACCAGGTAAATGATGTTTCCAACTTCTAAACAGATACCGTGTAAACTTCCTTAACTGTCTAAATTTACAGTACGTGGCTCCTTGTGCGGATTCCAATTGTTGTGTCTGTATCAAGAAACCTTTTTCTTTGAACGTTTTTTCCAAACGCTCTCTGGCCAGTGACTTTTTGCTCTTACGTTTGGAGTCTTTTGATTGAAGATTTATTGATTCTTGGATACTGGTAGAACCAGGAAGCTGAAAATCATTTAGCGATGATATCTGATCTCTGACGCATAGGTTCAAAGGTTCTTCTACGACAGTTGTCCCGTAGTTTTTATATATCAAGTGACATATATCAGCCTACAATAAAATTAAAATATCTGATTAGGTAATACAATAAAATTATACAAATAAATGTTTGCATGTTCCATGATTATTAATTGATATATTAAATCTTACTGTTCACATACAATGTATAATGTATATCTATAATCGAGACCTTCTATTCATAAGTTTGTGGAATGCATTTACATTCTTTAGATTTATTTGATGTTTAGGTATATTATTTTCTGTTTAATATTTTCACCTTATTATCACGTTATTGTCAAACTATATAGATAACATTTTTCAAAATCTACAATGTAGTATTTAAACATAAAAGTGAATTAATTAATTACAAAGTCTCGTGTTTATAAGGTGTTTTATAACACTGATTGTATAATGTTAACGTGTTTATACTTTATATTTTATATTTGATAGTGTCTAGTGCAGTCTGATAAGATAACACGCATACGTTTTTAAGAAGATTAAAATAATAATAATAAGTTACATATTATTATACGTTATAATAATATTTATGTATCCAATATCAATGCTCAGTAAAAGTAAAATTATACTTATGGATTTTTTAACATACATACTGATTACTGATGAATGATACTTTTAATATAGTAAATACTAATTATTTTGAAATTTATAATCGAATACGGAAATATTTTTATACATATAGTTTGAAAACATTATCATACTCAACTACAATATACTTTTGCTATTTCTCAACGATATCATTTTGTAAGCTTTTACTTTTTGTATGATTATAATTTTTTAATTTTACACTACAAACCATGATATTTATTTAAACAGGTATTTCGATGTATGATRATTAAATTTTGAACGAGTTCCTATCCTTCTGTAGGTATACATATTTTCATAATATGAATAATTTTTACCTTTTTTGGTTTGCGTCCTCTCCGTGGTTTTGCATTGTCTAATGTCATCTCTCCCATGTATGGTAGATCATCAAAACGGACACTAGTTTGAGCTTCCGGTGGCAGTTTCGATTTGGTATTTCCCGTGAAAAGGACAGGTGTAGGAGATGATGAAATCACTGGAGTTGGTTCAGGAGACATCATGGATGCTTCATAATGATTCAAATACTCTGGAGGTAATGCTTGATGATGAAATTTAAGCTTCCATCGAGATTT